ATAGTAAATTAGGAATTTTCAGTTCATTTTTTTAGCAGGAGTAGCTGTGTCAGGACAAATTGATGATAGTTGAAAGATTAAATGTTTTATGTATTTTTTTTCTTTCTCTACTAATTTCTCTCTCTGTGCCTCCCTGACTCTCTCTCTGTCTCTCTCTCTCTCTCTTTCTGTCTTTCTGTCTGTCTCTTCAGAGGTGGCAGTGTCCTCATTGCTGTGTCTGTCGTCAGTCAGAGAGCTTCCGCTACAGGTGTGTGAGTTGTATCAGAAGGGATTCGTACTGGCTGCTGTCCATCCCTTTGTTCACTCCTGCGGCCCTGCTAGTGCTAACCTTCAGAAGCAGTTACACCGAGCCGTGCTAATCCGAGAAACACACAGGTATACACAAGGAATAGAATACTACATATTGCTATAAATCGAAATAAAAAGAATTACTTTGCATTTTAGGTTGTGTAAAATTGTCAGGTCAATTAAAAATGGAAATGCAGACATTTAAAATTGTGGCACACTACCGTTCAAACAGAAAACAGCTATTTAAAATTTACTAATATTTCACAATATTACTTTCTAAAAATATTACTTTTATATACTGCATAGTAGCAGATCCTATCCAGGTCACATGATAGGAATATAATTTATTATATTTTGATTAAAATAAATTTTTTGGAATAAGATTTGCATATGAATCATTTACAATAAGACAAAGATTGTGCATGAAAAAGGTAAATATGGTCTATTTTGATTTCATATTTTTTTGAATTATGGATGTTCAAAAGTGGCTTTGTTTTGTGTTTTTGTTACAGTGGTTCTGATAGTGGCCTGCTGGACTGGGTTGAGCCTCATCTCACGACAGACGTGTGTTACCTCGGTCACCAGGACCCTGACCCAGAAGTTATACAGGGCTATGTAAAAAAGGTTAGACCTTAGACCTTCTTTAAAAGTGCATTTGTTTTCATTCAAACAGAGAGCAGTAGGTCAATTTGTTTGTCATTCAGTTACTAAAATTTAGTGTCACACTTAATGTCATCCCTTCATTAAAGATGGCACCAAAAACCCACTTACTTCAAACTCTCTCTATCATGGTCTTACAATATGGCTGTAAAACAGAAAACATAATCTGACAGGCTGCTCCATAGACACTGACACCTCACATTCATCTGCCATTCCATTAGTCGTCACCCCCTCGCCTTTTCAGTAATTGCATTTATTTGGAGATAAGCAGTGTTTGAGTGTGTGTGTGGTAGTGTTTGAGCCGTGTGACATTTACTGATGATTTAGATGTATGCGTGTGTTTGGCGTGACAGTATGATGATTGGAAA